CAGGGTTTAGGGTTTAGGTGTAGCAGTTATAGGGATGATACAGGGGCAATATAAGAACTATGTAGAGATGGGAAAATCGGGATTCTGATTACATAGAGATTTATAGGGACTGTTTGGGGATTATTCATTGATCTTATATGGTTTGGGTATATTTCCCCAACAGTGGAGCTTCAAATCGAAAAAAAGGTGGAACATGAAACGGAAGCTGGGATTAGAGTGCGGTGCATATGAGTTGGGGTTTGCAAAAGTACTTCGGTGTCCTGATAATACGGATTTTGCAAAGACTGGGGTATAGACAGGGCCAAGAAATTGCCAGATCTTCCCTTTCTGAGTCTCGCTTCTACACTGGATCCTGACAACAGTAGTAGGAAGATTATAACTACAGTAACAGTGAAGTTCATTGAAACAACAATATTCACAGTAATAGTAGCCGTAATCGTAATGGTAATAGTCATAGTAAGAGTAATAGAGAGCTTGTTTAATGAACTCTCTAGAATCCCCTACTATCCGCTCACAGTCCCTTTGAATCCTGCAGGGCCCCCAAAGGCTCCCCTTTTTGACCAAATGGCATATTACTTATTGCCTTTTCCATTCCTTCATTTACTGTTTATATTTCTACATGGAGCTTCTACATAATCCCTAGATATCCCTACCCCAAACCGTAAACCCTAAGCCCTAAACGCTATTCCTTGCGGTCCCTCCCTAAACCCTACACCCTAAACCCTACACCCTAAACCTTATACCTTAAACCCTAAATCCCTAAACCCTTGACCTTAAATCTCTAAACCCTAAACCCTGAACCCTAAACTCTATTGGTGCTGAGGCTGGCAGGGTCCAGAGGAACCCACAGGCATGGAATATCCAACCAGCCTTTCATACCGGCCTTAAGGGTCTAGAGTTTAGGGTTTGGAGTTTAGGGTTTAGAGTTTAGGGTTTGGAGCTTAAGGTTAGGGTTTAGGGTTTAGGGCGGGTCCTTTGCAAATATTGGAAGTCCTTTGAAAGGGCGCATGCTGGATGTATGGGGTGTAGAGGTTTACGGGTTAGAGATCAGGACAAAAAATAATAGAGCTTTGCGGGGTACCTTGTATAAGGAACACAGTTTTGGGGTCATACTAGGGTGATCCCCATTTCTGGAAACACTCGTATCCCAGTTGGCATCGTAGAAAGTGCGGCCAAGAAATGGAATTTCGATGCTTTGCTCGACTTGCTTTCATTCATGGAAGGTTATTTAAGGATAATTAGGCCCTTACTACGGTTAAGTAAGGGAGAACTAATGGGGTGATAGTATAGAGGGGGCTAGTAAGGGAATCCATGATTCAGTTTTGTTGGTGAGGGATTGCGGAATTGATCCTGAGCACTACCTATTTAACAATAGAGTAGCTTCCAGGAACCGTAAACCTCCATATGTCCCTGTACATCCACAGTCTTGGTTTAGTTTCTATTAGCTTTACCAGTTGCACTTCCATTCCCTACTAAACCCTGAACCTTAAAATTGGGAGTAGCTCCCATATTCTTTTCCATTCCGTAGTTTGTACTTAATTCCGATTGTGTTTTCCAGTTTCTTTAACATTCCTTGGCAGCATCCATCTCATTTCCATTCATTTGCCGCTTGCTTCTCTGTGGGATTATAACCTGACGGCCAAACCTTATATGTCCTGATCAATTTCGGTTTTCATTCCATGTTCCTAAACCCTAAACCCTAAAAGCCACTTGTTATTATACTTGATTGTTCATTCCCTTCTAGCTTCCTGCTTCATGTTCTTTAAATTTAGGGTTTAGGGTTTAGGGTTATCTTCATTTCATTTTCCATTTCTTGTTTACGTGATTTTCCATTGCGTGAACCACGAAATTCACATATCCCTACATGGCCCAACATATCCCTGCAGTAGTTTCCATTAGGTGATGGGGAAACCATAAATGGAAGTTTCCATTTGCTTCTCCACAAGCCTGCTCGCAGGCCTCGCGCTGCATCCCTTCGGGTTCTTCCTGGCTGTGAGCTTCAGTGACAGGACCTTTGCCGTAGGTAGGGAAACTCAGTGCTATTTAAGTTTGGGATTATGACAGGCTATATTAGGGATAGTGGAAAAGAAAATGGAAGCAATTGTTTGAGGGTAATGTTCCAAAGTCTTGTATACGTGTTGTAAATCACGCTAGAATTCCGTTATATGCCTGCCTAGCCGTTGTGAAGAGCAACGCCAGTAGGAAGCATTTCTTGATGCCCTGGCCAGGATTCGCTTCTTAGAGATTTTGGCGAAAGAGCGAACTTGGCAGCGGTTTGTACTCTCTGTTTGACTGAACCTGGGTTGCTGTTATGGGTATATAAAGTAAGCATTATGGTTTCCGCAATATAGTAGCTTGAATTCAATTCCTTAACAGCAACCCAGCATTTCCATAGCACCCTAACCCCTAAATCCTAAACCCTAAACCATAGTACCCTAACCCTCAAACCCTAAACCAAATATGCTAACCCCTGAACCCTAAACCCTAAACCATGCACACATGCAAGCATAGCAAACGGTTTTGCCAGCCTCAAGCTGTTCTCGGAGTTGCACGTGAAGCCTGGCACCTACCCTTCAAGTGTCAAGATGCCTGAAGAGTTGCATGTCATAATAATGGTATGTATAATGATAGGATGATATATATATATATCTTCATAGACATATGAACATATATATATGTATATATATATATATTTTACATAGTATAGTATAGTATGGTATGGTATAGAATAGTAGAGTATAGTATAGTATAGTATAGTATAGTATGGGTGTAGCATAGTATTATATATCCTTCCGAGGAACGTGCACCTTTTGCGATTCTCGCACGGTGGCCACCTGCTTGCTGCTGCACAGGCCTTTGATGGCACATGGCTGTTTACCTGCATGTTTCTGGAAATGCTGGTGGTTTTTCATGGACATGACGACAATCAAGCAGCTAGCCGTGTTGATTTGTGGCGCCGCAGTTTGGGTCAAAAGGAGGGGCCCGCGGCAAGATGGCAGAAGATGCGACAGAAGCTGCGGCTGCGCCTGCGCCCGCAAGCTCCCGGAAAGTCCTCGTCATAGGTGACGAGACGTTTGCATACACCTCCGGTCTACAAGAAGCCTATGCAGAGGTCGAGTTTACGGCATGCTCCGTGCTGTCAACTACGAACATCGCCTCCAAAGAAGCGAATGCATTCCCGCCCAACCTGAAAGGTAGGGCAAAGCATATGCAGAATCCGCTGCTTGCTGGGAAAGTTTATCCAGCTGCTGGCTTCGATGAGCTCATGTTCTTTCTCCCGGGTCTCAGCTTCCTGGTGCCCAAGGAACTTGGCACCTCGGACAGGCCGCTGTATGCGTATAGACTGCATCACTTTGTGTTTCATTTGCTGCGCACTACAAAGGTCGGGGGTTTGTCAAAACAGGGTTTGGGGCTTGTAGGGGGGTCTAGAAGCACAAAGAGGGCAGTACAGAATCGTTTCCGGACGTGGCCAGGTTCTGCTGAAGGGCGAGAGCGATCTCCACGTCGTTTGGCCAGAGGAGACATGCTTGATGAGTTCTCCATGCGGCGCTGCAGGCATCGAGCTTGTTCAGCTGTTGAGATTCCTAGGTTGCAAACAGCAGCCGGAAGCTCGATACAGTTTAGACAAGCTGAAGCCAGAGAGCCTGAAGCCCGTAGTCTTCGGGTCCGTGCAGAGCGAGCTACCGGAATGGCTGCAGGGAATGCAGATGCTCCGGTTCACCATAGACACTGGGCCCATAAAAGTGCCACTCCCTGTGGCCTTACAGATCCACCCGGACCTGGAGCTCGTTGGCCTCCGGGAGCGTAGCTCCATCCAGGGAGTGGAGGGTCCAAAGGACACGGCGCCCCTGAAGGCTCAGCTTGTCCACGAGGCCCTCGCTCGGAAAGCGCGGCTGAAGGACATGTATGGACCCCATGACAAGGGGGAAATGCCTTCCAGCTTTGATTTAGTTAGGGAAGCGCCAGCACCCGATCCGGAGGCGCTCCTCTCGGTGCCCATGGAGGTATTCATGATGTCGTTTGATGAGCTTCCACATTTTGGTAACTGCATGAAATATCAGGTAGCGGAGGACCAGCCTCAGATTTCGCATGTCTCGATTGACGTGCTTGATCCCCGGCTTCCCACTCGCGTGGCGCGTCCTGCGCCGGTGGCCCCGCCGATGCCGATGGCTCCACCCGTGGTGGCCGTGAAGAAACGGTCCCGCCCCAAGGAGGAGGAGTGGGGAGAGATGAAATTCTACTGCCCCCTCACCAAGATCGCCACCCCCACAGCCGAGAAGATGCGGCTTCACATGGAAGGCGAGCTGTACAAAAAGTTTGCGGCCAGAGATCCCAACTGGGATTCCTCAGATGACAAGAAAGACCTTCTCTTCGACCTGGAGGAGGAGGAAGCAAAGAGGGCCAAGAAAGACAAGGGCAAAGGAGGAGGCAAGGGGAAGGGTGGAGGCAAGTCCAAAGGCAAGTCCGATGGAAAGTCTAAAGATGGTAAATCTAAGGGTGGAGGCAAATCCAAGGGAAAGAGTGGCGGCAAAAGCCGCTACTGATCGTGCTTATTGTGTCAGCTCGCTGACATTCGCATTTACGCAAGCGGTTGGCATTGAAAAAAAGGATGGCACTTCTGTGAAGGCAAATGCGTTCCAGGGTCCTTGCGCGTGCATTGCCAGTTAGGGAAGTGAACCTTCACACTCTCTACCTTCTTGTGCATGCAGCATGGCGACTGCTTTCTTCTCGCCAGTCGAAGCTCATCATGGTGTTCAGCACCCGGAACTTGAAAAAGATTGCAACGCTGCGCGGACATCCGAGGGAGGCCAGCGGAAGTTTTTGCGAAGCTGGCAATGCTCCAAATGGGTAGTATTTTCTTTGGGGGTATTGTGGTACCTATTATAGAGTGAGATTATATCCTCCTTTGAGGGGGGTATAGTATTTCATATAAGGAATATAATCTTACTAGGCTCATCCGCCAAAAAAATATTGCTTAAGTGCTCCAAGCATCCAGGTGGCCTCCATGGCATTTGATCCTTTGGACCGCACGCTGGTCACGCTAGGCTCCGCGTTGCTTTCGCCTTCTGTTCTCATTGGAAGCTGGGGTCATATTATGCCCCCATGATGGAGAATCAAATGGAAGAGAAAATGGACCATGAAATGGAAACTGGGATTCTGGGATGCATTGAATCGCCGCTGCTTTTGCAGGAGAGGATGGGAAAGTCTGCGAGTGGAGCACGGAGAACTGGAGTGCGGTAGTGTCCCAAGTACTGTTGTGACTGCAGACCCGCAATTGCAATTGAGCCTGGCATACTAAGTTGAACGAGTACGGAGCTCATGGTGAAGCGCACGCTGTGGCAACTGCGGGAGAAGGCCTTGTTTGGGCGGGTGTGGCCATGGCCTCAGCCGCAAATTTCAACATGAGCTATGGTCTAAACTCCTTAAATGGGGTTATATAGGGGATTATATAGGGGACTACTACAGGGGTTATTAAGGGGCATACTAGGAGTTTAGACT